GGGAGGGTTACCGTTTTAAACAGGGAGGTCAAGGGATTCCTAACTGAGAAGGTGACGTTGGGCACGATCCAAAGGAGTGAGGGAGTAAAGCAATGAAGCTATGTGGGGAGGATCCTTCCAGGTAGAGGGAATAGTAAGTGATGAAGCTCTGATGATGGGCAATGCCTGCCATTTCAAGAAATCACAAAGAGGCCTGGCTCCAGGATAGAGTACAAGGGGGAGGATTAGCAGGAGATGAGATCAGAGAGTTATGGGAAAGGAGATGTAGTAGGACAGGTGGTCTAGACTGTGACAGGCAGCTTCTGACGTGGCCCCCAATGGTCCCCACCTCCTGGTGCTAACACCCTTGTGTGACCCTTTCCCTTGATTGTGGGCTGGATCTAATGAATAGAAGCCAGCAAAACTGAAGGGGTGTCACTTGCAAGATTAGGTTCTTAAAGGCTGTGGCTTCTACTTGCTGGTAGTCTCTTGTTCTCTCATTGGCTCACTTTGATGAAGCCAGCTGCCACGTTATAAACGCCCTATGGACAAGCCCACGTGGCAAGGAGCTGAAGGCAGCCTGTGGCCAACTGCCAGCGAGGAACAGAGGCCTTCAGTCAAGCAACTTGTGAGGATCCAGATCCTGCCAATAACCACTGATCGAGCTCAGCAAGAGATCCTGACCCACTTGAACCCTGAGATGAGTGAGGCCTCAGCCGATGCCCTGATCACAGCCTAGTGAGAGACCCTGATCTGGGGGACCCAGCTAAGCCGTGCTCAGATTTCTGAGCCACAGAAAATGTGAGATAACAAGTGTGTGTTCTTTTAAGGGGCCACATTTGGGGGTAATTTGTTACACGGCAAGAGATAAGTAATACATTGGATCTTGTAGGTCACTCTAAGCACAAACTGGGCGGGGGACTGATTAGAATCACTGGCTGGTATGTTACAAATAGACTGTAGCAGGGCAAGGGGGAACGCGGGGGCGGGGGTGGGGTGTCAATTGAGAGGCCACTGAAATAATCTAGGCAAGAGATGCTGGTGGCTGGGACTAGGGTGGTATTGGTAGAGATGGGAGAAGTCTTTGGACCTTGAAAGTTTTTTTTTTTTTTTTTTTGGCCACACTGCGGGGCATGCAGGATTTTAGTTCCCCGACCAGGGATCAAACCCGTGCCCCCTGCAGTGGAAGCGCAGAGCCCTAACCACTGGACCGCCAGGGAATTCCCTTTTGAATGTATTTGGAAGGCAGAGTCAACAGGATTCGCTGTTAGATTAGATGCGGGGTGTGTAAGAAATAAGAGATGACTCTAAGGTTTTTGGCCCGAGCAACTAGAAAAGAACTATCATATACCGAGATAGAGGAAATTATAGAAGGAGTAGATTTGCGGAGAAAGAATAGGAGTTAGGTTTTGGGCATGCTTAATTTGAGGTATCTATTAGACATCAATGTAGGGCTGATGAATTGGATATACAAGTCTGGGGGTTGAAGCTGGAAATATACATTTGAGAGTCTGCAGCATTTAGATGATAAAATGTGAAAGCCCGCTTGCTCTCCACTCCCATGTCCCACCCATAAGCCTCCTCCCCCCGGTTAGCTCATGTGTAGGGATATAGATACACATACACAAATATTATTTTTCCACAAGTAGAATTGTTCTGCAACTTGCTTTTTATCAATATTTTTTGGAGTTTTTCGATGTAAGTACATCCGTATATATCTCATTCTTTCTTAATAGCTGTAGAGAATTCCTTAGTATGAATGAATCATGTTATATCCATGCATTCATTCATTCATTCACAAATATTTTTTGAGCACCTACTATGTGCCCGGCACTGATCTAGAAATTGAGGATAAAGTAGTCCCTTATGGATGGTATTTAGGTTGTTTCTAATAGTTTGCTATTATTAACATGGATACAATGAGTATCTTTATGCAGGCATCTCAGTTCACATGTGAGAGTTTTTATTTGGCATTGATTCATAGAAGTGGAATTTCTAGGTCAAAGAGCTCTATGGCATTTCTAATACTTGAATCTCAAGTTCAATTAGGATAGGGTTAACATTAAATTAAATTAAAATAAACATTAGGATAGGTAAATTTGTGATAAAATCAAAGATATTTAACAAATGTGGAAAAGAAATCACCCAATAAAATGCTCTGTTGGAAGCTGTAGGATTGCCTCTACAATTTCCCTTTACTATGTGAGTGTAGTCATGTCCAAATCCCACTCAGCTTCAAGGTCAAACTCAAACGCCCCCTCCTACAGGAAGCCTTCAGTAGGCCCTAATCAGATGTGATTTTGCGATCTCCCGCTTTACCTCAAGTATGGTCTTTATCACATACTTCCTTGTATCATAAATACATTCTCTACAGGACTTTTTTTTTTCCTGAAGGGAATGGACAGTGTATTTAATTCATCCTGCATCGTCCCTCAGTGCATAGCACAGCGCTCAATGTTTATGTAATGAAACAGAAGCCTTAAAGCAAAAAAAGTGAAACCTACAGTCTCAAGAATAAGCATGGCGCCTACTAATGACCAGATGGTGTTTGCATACCATCCGTGTGACATGTGCTTCTGATGGCTCACAAGGCTCTGTAGAAATTGCCTTCTTCTCCGATTCCATCTCCTACTACTTCTCTTCCTTCTATGCTCCAACCATGCTGGCCCTTTTTTCTTTTTTCTGGCTTTGAACACACTAAGTCTGCCCCCATCTCCACACCTTTGTACCTGTCATTCCTTCTACCTGGAGTGCTCTACCTCCTGATCTTTGCTGGCTGCTTCTTTTCCTTCAAGACTCACTCAACTTTCACCTCCTCCAAGAAGACTTCCTTGACCTTCTATTCTAAATTAGGTCTCCAACTCCAAGTACTCTCTATCCTATCACCTTAACTTAATCCTCCACATAGTATTTCTCGCTTTCTGAAATTAACATGTTCATTTGCTTGCACTAGAACGTAAGCTCCACCAGAAGAGGGACCTTGGCCTGTCTTGTTCAACCCTGTGTACTTTAAATGGCTACAATAGAGTATGTAGTAGTAAAGATGCTTTTGGCTGAAAGAAACAGAATATTCAACTAAAAGTTGCATAAACTATAAGGGTTTACTTTTCTCAGAGGTAGGCAGTACTAGGTAGGGTTGGTTCAACGGTTCAATGCTGTCTGAATTCTGGATTGGCCCCTCTGCGATGGTCTTGGATTTCCCTTGTGGTTGCAATATGGCTGCCAAGGGCAGATGCGTCACCAGAAAAGACCCCTCTCAGGGAGAAGGGGGAGCAGAGGTCTCTCTGCACTGCTCTTTTTTAAAAGGTGGAAAAACTCAGGAGCTCTCCTCCCACACTTCTCTTTTCTATTGCATGGGCCCAAACTGAATGGAGCTAAGACCATTCCTCTAGTAGAGTGAGATTATCATGATTTTCTTTTTAACCAGTCATAATTCATCACCTGGAGCTGGGTCTGTCTTCCCTAAGCCCCGTGGCTCTGCTCCATACCAGAAGCAAATCTGGGCTCTCTTAGCAAGGAAAAAGTGTTATGGCTTTTCTGGCGGTAACCAACAGGGCGGGCCACACAGGCACTCATGGAACCGAGGCGTGAATTCGGGCTGATCCACCTACATTCAACAATTAACACATTTTATATACATACGCTTTGTGCAAAGCCAAGATTGGTGATACATGGCTTCTGCCTTCTGAGGACCTCCGGGTCCCAGGCCCTCTGGAACCTTTGTCTGTGCTTTAATGGGACTAATGTGATGACTGCTGAAATAGACATGCTGCTAAGAGATTTGGTCTTTTCTGGATTCACAGAAACCATCAACCATGCCCTTGTTTTCAAAACAAAGTCCTGTATATAGGTGTGACTGCTTGGTCTTTGAAGATGGTAAAAAGTGGGCAAAGTGGGCCTTCCCTGCTGGCACAGTGGTTGAGAGCCCGCCTGCCGATGCAGGGGACGCGGGTTCGTGCCCCGGTCCGGGAAGAGCCCACATGCCACGGAGCGGCTGGGCCCGTGAGCCATGGCCACTGAGCCTGCGCGTCCGGAGCCTGTGCTCCGCAACGGGAGAGGCCACAACAGTGAGAGGCCCGCGTAGCGGGGGGGAAAAAAAAAAAAAAGTGGGCAAAGTGCCCTCATGGCAGTGGTACGAACCCGCTTAGAAGGGCTGAATGGCTCCCCAGAAATTTTTGGCCATTTTCAAACTCTTAACACATTAAGTAACCAGACAGAAAATTCCCGCGGTTAGCAGAGCCTCTCACTTTGCACTTGGGGAGGTTTTACAGGGTCACTAGTACTTCAAGATTCACATCCTTATTTCTGTCTTAAGCACGTTTATTTTACATCTAGTTAGAAGATGTTCTTTGAGTCTTGGGAAACAATTTCTCGGAAGGTGAAGAGGATAAGGAAAGGAGTAGGAAATGGAGAGGCGATAGCAGGATGTGTAAAAGCTTCTAGAAGACCGGTAAATCCTCCAGACTCCAGGTAATGGCCTTCCAAACCCGCCCCCGCCCCGCTCCACCCTCCCCCCGCCCCCCCCGCCCCGTCTCTGCCGAACTAGACAACCTGCCACAGGCTCAGGGCCCACCATCCAGCTCTCCCCTACCCTGCTGGGGGTGGAGGGGTGGGCTCGCCCACAGCAAATTTCCAGTCCCAGAAGCCCGCTCCCTCCTGGGGTTGCCCCCCGACCCCTCCCACGTGAGGAGGATCGATGGGTAAGAAAACGGTGTGGGCAGCAGAGGACCCAAGCGAGTCGCTCCGGCCGGAAAACCCGCTCTCCCTCCTTCGACAGCGACATCGGCTCGACCCCTCCCGGGCGGAGCACACAATAGGCGGCTGCTCCACGTTGTCGCGCAGCCCCTCGCCGCCCCGGTCCCGGGGGCTTGCGGGGTGGCGGGGCGCGAGAGTTCCCCAGCCCTCCTGCGGGCACTGCAGCCTCCGGGGCGGGAAAGGAGCGCTGGGGTAGAGCGCGCCGCACACTTGGAGACATTTCGTGTCGTTCCCCCCTCCCCGCCCCAAAATACACACAAACGAAAATGAAGCAACCAGACCTCCCCTCCCGGAGGCGGCTGCACCAGCAATATCAGCTGCGGGCGGAGCCCGAGCGGTTGCCACTTCCCCCCTCTTCCCTCGTGACCCTCGTCCCCCCTCCAATGCTCCCTCCCCCTCCACACGCCCTTCCTCGCCAGACACACCCTCCTCCTCGGGCTGCTCGCGCACGGAGCACGGGCTCTCTGGGGGAGGGAGCGGCCGCCGCCGTGGGGCCGGACGGCGAGCGAGCGAGGAAGGGAAGGAGGGAAAGAGGGAGGGGCAGCGGAGGGCGGGAGGGAGGAGCAGCGGGAGACGCGCCGCCGCCAAGCTGCGATGTGGCCGGCCGGCGTGTAAACACTTGGAGCAGCAGCGGCCGCGGCCGCCCCGGCCCGGGGCAGTGAGCAAGCCAGCCGAGACCTTCCCGCCGCTGCCATGGCCGAAGTGCGCAAATTCACCAAGCGGCTCAGCAAGCCCGGCACGGCGGCCGAGCTCCGACAGAGCGTGTCGGAGGCCGTGCGGGGCTCCGTAGTGCTGGTGAGTGGCCGGGGGACGGGGCGTCCTGGGGAACGCGCTCCGGGCGAGAGCAACTGGGTGGCTTCCCGCGCGCGCGCGCGTGGGGCCGGGACGGGGACGGCGGCGGCAGCGGCCGGCCGGTGCGCTCCGCGCTCTTTCTCCGTTTCAGTAAGTTTTCGCCCCGGCCGCCGCTCGCCGGGGTCCGAGTCCCAGGCGCCCGCTGACAGCGCCGCGGCTGCCCGGCTGCCCCGCACGGGCTGGACGCCGACGGGCCGTCGGGGGCTCGGAACTGGGGCCCCGGCCGGGGGTGTGAATTCGAGAACGGACCCCGCGCTGCCCTAGACCCGGCACAAAGAGCCGGCGACCCGGGCGCGACGAGATACAGAGTCCATGCTGCCCGCACCTGAGGCAGTCTAGGCGGAAGGATGCGATGTCCGTTTTGCACATACACGCACTCGCCCGCGCACACACACACACACCCACACACCGTGTACACAAAAAAAGAACCCCACCCAAAAAGCCCCGGGCGCCCAAGCTCCGGCGGGCGGTGAGAACAGAGGAAGCACAGCGACTTCCTCCTGCTACTGGGGAGAGGGTGGTGATGGGTGTAAGAAGGGGTGCTGCTGCCGCCGCTGCCGCCGCTGCTGCTGCGGAGGGAGGGGGTTGGAGACAACGGGTTTCCGGGGCGTGTGGGCGCGGGGTCTGCAGCCGCAGGGCGAGGGTGTCCCCTGCGACCCGAGAGCGCTCCGGAGGCAGGAGATGGGGCCATGGGGATTTGGGGGAAGACGGTGTGCGCCAGTCCAGGGATGGAGGACCTGGGCTCAGAGCCCCACCGCTCACGGCTGGGGGATGGGCATTGGAAAGCGCGCTGACCTCCTGGGAGCCTTTCCTTCGCACCCTCAGCCTCATTCGGATTGTCTGACTCTGGAGCGCAGCGGAGGGTACTAACGAGCACTTTCCCCTTCTCCTGTTTTCAAGACACTCGTTGCCAATTTCCTGGACCAGTAGTCAAAACCTAAATAAGCAATCAGACTGGTTAATTAGCATTTGTTTTGCTTTGGTTTTTTGTTTGTTCGTTTTTGTCTCTCTCCGTGCTCTCTACCTTACAGCGAGTCGTCTGCTGTGTTTAAATTTCACCATTAAGAGTGAGCTCTTTTTGTTAAAACAACTTATCATCGGAAGGGAACTTCACAGCTTTTCCTTGTAATTTTTCTGTTGATCTTGTAGAATCTGCGATAAAACCAACATTAAAGGGAGGCCAGGGGCCTGATCCCAACAGTGGAGAAAGTTGACATTAGTGGGAGTTCTGGAGGAGGATCAAAGGTAAAAATATGTACCTTTGAGATAAAGATCTGATCCCTAATAGCTACCACTGTGCAAAGCCAAATGACTTTAAAGAAATCTCTCTATCGTAGCTGGACCCTTGGAAGTTTAATCCTGCTGTTTAGCAGAGCTAAAAAGCCAGACCTTTAATGTTGTTTTAATGGACTTGGCCTATTGTGTGTCTCACTGATTTTAGAATGAGGTCCTGTTGGGGTTAGATTGGAACCTCGATTGTCATCACAGCCAGTTAAGAGAGGAAGGCAAGCTGTGGGTAGGGAATTTATACCAGGGCTCTCATCTCGGGTGATTGTTAACAAGTGATTCAGTCTCCCTAGCATAGGAAACGCTTTCCTAAATTCAGGAAGAAAGAAAACCTTGCTTAAGCAGGGCTGGCTGGCCCTCTACCACATCGTGTGAAGGGAGCCTGTGAATTGGACAGATGGTCTCAAGAGAATAAATGGGACTCAGCAAACCTCCGCTGGGATTTGACCGGCGTTTGACCTGCCACCCCCAGCAACGTAAAGTTGACAGTAGCATTCTTGTCCAGGGTTTTGGGTTTGAAAAAGAATTGGGGGTAACACAGGTGCCTTCCTAACCATTGACTCTGGCACAAAAACCTGTTAGTGGGAGGAGACTCTTCTGAGAGATACCGCCAACCTAGCTTACTTGGGACCAAGGCCACAGATTTTTTTTACCGGGCAAGGCACAGGAATGATATTTATTTACTACTCTGGTATGTGGGCCACACTGAGATTTTGGGAGGTGGGGAGAACTGATTCTAGGAATCTAAATCTATATCTGTGAGCCCCTGCAACGTGCAAGGCACAATCCTAGATGCCCTAAAATTATGAATGAGTGTGATGACTTTATCTTCATTTGTTTCTGTTAGTTCCAGCCGGGGTTGGGTCTGTGTGTATGTTTGTCAAGAGGACACCCAGATTATGTACGTAAATCAGTTTTAGCTTATTCATAGCACCTTAGTGAATGCTGTTTTGAAGCAGTTCAGTCAATTAAGAGATAAGGAAAGAGTCTTAAATGGAGTGTACTCTCCTAAATGGCTCTCTTTCTTGGCCCCTGCTTTTCTGACACCAAGAGCTCGTTAACCAAAGTTAGCAAAGCCATGGGTGGCTGGAGAGCGAGTGGACCACATTGCAGCTGCCATCACAACGTCTGATTCTTTTCTGATTTAAGACCCAAAATGTTTATGAGGGACAGCTGAGGTAGGATTTACACTTGCTGCTGTCAACCCACGACATTCAAGTTAGGGCTTCAACATGGAGTCGCATTTTCATTAGATTTCAATATGGAGTCATTCCTGCCGCAGAGCAAGCTTTCCTGTGGTGTATCTTTCACTAGAACTTGGAAAACCCACCAAGCTGAACAAATATACAGAATTTCCTGTTTAGGTGGTTTCTTTTTTAACAGTTATACCCTTTTTGGCATGTTGCTAACATCATTCAGTTTTGTTCACTGTTTGAAAAATTCAGAAGGCCTGGGCTATATATAGCATGTAGTTGTGTATTCAAACCTTCATTCAGTTATCAGTACTTCCTCAAATCTATTAACTATATAATGAAGCAGATAGAGAAAGAGAGACCGTTTTGTTGCTGCATTTTTTTTTTAAATGAAAGACAGTTTTAACCCAGGCAAAGGGATAATTACAGAATTAACCACTGGCAGAGATTTCTCAAGAGAGACTTGGGGAGGAATATTATAACCTGAGAGCGTCTGTGATTAACTGAGAAGTGTTTACATATATACACATTTTAAAATGAAGCGTTTCAACGCTGTTTTTGTTATAATTCAGGATGTAGCTCTTTGTGCCTCTGGGGGAACAAAGGCATTTGAGAAACCTGTTGTATTCTGGCTGCCCTCGGGAGGAGTCCCTGTGTCTGCCTGGGAGGGTCGCCTAGTAGGTGTTTAAATACTGTTGACTTGCTGCCGCTGAATTTACTTTCAATTCCTCGTGCGCCAAAGGATCAGGAAAGAGTTGCTAGATATTACGGGTTGTAGCCCCTTGAGGCAGGGCGATGCATGCACGGTGCCCTGGCTGGCGCCTGGCCAGATGGCATATAACAAAGCCAGTGGAGAAAAGCTCTCCAAGAGCTGAGAATGGCTGAAAAGGGTCTGCAGCTGTTGACACCCCCCTCCCCCCCACAACACTACCACCTCTGCAAGGAGTGTTCCTTAGGTTTGCATTTAGGGAAGGCCTGAAAATGAATCAGCTCCCCTGCTCCCTCTTCCTAGGGGAATTTGTGGAAAGTACTTAATCGAGGACAAAACAACTTACACGGTAGAATAAAGCCAGTTGCCACGGGCTTTGCCCGCGAGTCTGCAGTTCAGAGACTTAGCTGGGCTCTGCATGCACTGACCCAGAGTGTGGGCGAGTAAGCATGAAATGGTCTTACTGCTCCCGTTGGCTCCTCCAGGTTTGGAGAAGGAAGGATCTGTCAGCCAGCCCAGTGCAGAGGTTGCTGTGAAGCCGGAGAGGCCTCCTTGCCCAACCCTCTTTGAAGCACCAAATAGTACTGGATAGAATTTGTTTTCCAAGCCGAGCACGTTAAACAGATTTATCATACAAACCTGTAAATAATTATGTCACTTACCCGTATCTTACGAACATTTCTTCACGTCAGTGATACGAATCTACATAATCGTGTTTAACGACTGCCAGAAGTTCCGCTGTGGGTGGACCGTAGGTTAATCATCCTTTACTGTTTGATGTCTTGAGAAGTTCTAATTCTGAGGAGTTAGAAACATGAGCTCTCCAGTACAGTAGCTACTAGCCACCTGTGGCTATTTACGTTTGAATTCATTAAAAAACTAAAATTAGTTTAAAAACTTTAAAAATCAGCTCCTAAATTGCCCTTGCCACAAATGCTCAAGAACCACGTGTGCCTAGTGGCTGGCCCGCATAGGACAGCCCAGAGACAGCATTTCCACCACTGCAGGAAGTTCCTCAGGACAGCTCTGGTATAAACATGAATTTGAATGAACATCTTTGAGCAGGCATTTTCAAATATGCTAGATTGTCCCTCTAGGATAAATTTCTAGCATTGGAATTGCTTTGCTCAAACATTAGACACATTTTTAGCATTAACATTTCCTTTAAACCTGCTGTTAAATTGCTCTGCAGAAAGTTATTGACATTGGCCCTTCCGTCACCAGAAAGTGTGAGTGTTCCTTTTGCCCCCTCCCATGGCAACACCGGTAATTAGTATTTTTTAACCTTTGCAATCTGGTAGGCAGTAAACGGCATATCACCGTTCTAATTTGCATTCCTCTCATTAGTCTTGAAGTTGACCAGGTTGGCATATGTTGATTAGCCATCTGTATTTCTTCTTTTGAGGATTTGAGTGAACCTTCGTACAGACTTATTTCCTGGTTTGTAATTCTCACACTAACGGTCTCTACCCCTAAGATTCTGTTTCGATAAGTCTGGGCTGGGGCCAGGCATGTGTAGTTTTAAAAACAACCCAAGGTGACTTTGATGTGCACAGAAACGCAGATCTAGACCTCTTGCCTACTCAAGGCAGGAATGTCCCCCGTACCGGCCCTGACAAACGTTGCCTAGCTTCTCCTTAAACGCTCTCCGCCCGTTAGAGGGCTGGGTTAGAAACGGCTCTTGCGCTGAAATTTGCTCTCTGTAAGTTCCACCACTAGGCTAGGCCTCGCTCTGCCATTTGGAGCCGCACAGA